GACACACAATGCCTCCTGGTGACCATGCTTTCCCCACCTCTGAGTACCTGACCATCCTAACTCTCGAGTGCCCCTGCCCTCATAGATCAGGTCCCACTCCAGCTATTGTAACACCTGCCTACCAGGTCTCCCTCCTCCAGGCTCTCACCATATCCCACAAACCATTTCATCATTGGTGAGCCTGTGAGGTGTAAAAGACTATGCGAAGAATGGAAGGGAGGAAGATGATGGGAATCGAAGCAAGTAAAAGGGAAATGGGTGTGTAGAGAAGCCACCATAATTCAAGGAAGAAGAGGAAAGAAGGGTTACAGGGGCCCAGGGGAGGCCAGGATTGCTTCCAGCTTGGGCTAGGTTAATGGAGACAGGGAGGAGAAGTCTAAGCACAACCTCACAAAAGACATGGAGGCCTTGCAGAGCAGGTGCCAGGGTAGCCGGGTCTCCACCTCTGCGAGCATGCAGGATTATGCCACCTCAGCTCTGACACCAGGCAGGAGGGCAGTGTGGCTAGGAGCAGTCAGTGAGTAGAGGGTCCACAGCCCATTCCATGCTCCTTGCATGACACCCTGACCACCAACATTCCAGACAGTAGGGACTCTCCCAGTCTGAGCCCAAGGCAGGAAAAGAGCAGGCCTCCTGCAGGTGCACAGTGGACAGCTAACTTGAGCAAGAAGAGCCTTTCCTGAAACTTTAGGAAGGTTTGTTAGCACAGCATACCCTAGCCAAGACTAGACAGCAGCACACAGCTGAGAGAGGGTGCATTGGACAGTGGTGTCCTGGGTGACAGAGCAGCAGCTGGAGTATCAGCTAGCTGGAAATGAGTAAAGAATGGTGGGAAATAAGAGGGAGAAGAGGCAGCTAGCACATGGAGAGGCCCGAACACCAGGCAAAGGAATGGTCCTGTATCTCAGGAGATCAGCCTGGCAGCCGTGTGTTGGGTGAGCTGGGGAGAGCGCAGATGGGAAATACCATCTCATATGATGTAACAGCAAGAGCTCAGAAAAGCTAGAAACTGGGATCCAGCAGGTGACATGATGGTTAAGACAATGGATTCCCACATGGCCAACCGTGGTTTGAATCCCGAATCTGGAGATTTGTTTCCTCACTTTCCCTCTCTCTCTGTCTCTCTCTCTCTGGTTAGCACATGAGCCCTATAGCAAGTTAAAAAATAATGATAAATAAATAAAATTAAACAAATAATTCTTTTTTTAAGAAAAAGAAAGGTAGAAACAGAAAACGACTGGATTGGATCAGGAGCAGGAGGAAGGGGAGAAGGGGACACAAGAGATATTACATGAAGTCAGCGGCAAGAGGATTTGCAACTGACTAGATGTTGAGGGCAAGAAATAAAAAATGACATGCCACTTAGAGTCCAAGCAGCTAGGAGACTGGCTTCATGGCCTAAATGAAGTAAGGAACATAGAGCAAGGGACAGGCCGTGGAGCACACAGAAGAGGTCAAATCTAATGTTTCCATTTCCAGCAAGCGGCAACAGCTGAGAGATACCATTTACTGAGGGTTCACCAGAAGCCAGTACTGCCCTGAGGGGCCACCTGCAGCACTCCTTGAACTGTCCTAGCCACCTGTCACACAGCTGGGAACAGATGTGAAGCATAGCAGTCCCAGGGCGGGGAGGGGGGGGTGTAAACGAAGATGTGACAATCATCTTTGCTGAAATCTGAAATGTGGGGGACTGCAGTGGAACCTCACAAAGGGAGGTGGGATCTCTGGGACCACCAAACAATGCTGCTGGGAAGGAGCAGGAAGATCTCAGCTCACCAGAGACGGATTATCAAGCAAGAAGGTGGCTGCAATTGATGGTAAGGATGGCCTGTGTGGGCGGGGGACTTCTGTGAGAGAGCAACATGAGCAGAGCGGCAGAGGCAGATAGAGAAACTGGAAACCAACACACCGGAGGGGTCGGGTGGCAGCACAGTGGTAATGGGACTGGACCCACACAGGAAAGGTCACAGGTTTGCATCCTGGGATCTCCCTGGACACTCCATGCTGACACTGCAAGTGGATTGCAGTGTGGGGCCTCTGTTGGGGGTGCCTGTCTGTCTCTGCCATGCTCTCGTGGAAGAAATAAATAAACTTTAACAACCAAAAAAAAGAAATGGAATGGAAAAGGAAAAAGTAACTCAAACTACAGTCTGAAGTGAGAAGAGAGCAAAATATCCCAGATGCCCAAGGAGAGCAGCAAGGAGAGACCAGAGCTGCAAAGGGTGGGGATGCAAGTACCAGGCCAGGGCAGGATGCAAGGAGAGACAGAGGATTACAGAACTGTCCTGGGTGGGCACTGGGAATCTGCACCCTCAGCCCTGCTCCCCACTGCCTACCTCACTGTATGAAAATAGTATCCTTGGGAACCGACAGTTAGCGTAATGGCTATGTCGCTGGACTCCCACGTAGTCGACCGCGGTTTGCGTCCCGGACCCGGTGGCTTAAAACTCACGCCGGGTGCGTGTGCATGTGTGCCCAAGATCTTGAGAGGAGAATGGAGAAGAGATTGCGGCATGACCATCCCCCTGGGGCGTGATTTCTCGCTTTCTGTCTCTATGTCTCTCTCTGTCTGTCTGGCGAGTGCACACGCCCTATAGCAAAAACCTCTCAAAAAAAAAAAAAAAAAAAAAAAAAAAAAAAAAAAGTAGTATCCTTTGCCCTCAAGGCCTGGTCCAAACAATGCCACAGCCCACCTTCTGGCCCCTTCGCACATTAATCCCCACCAAGTCCCAGTGTGATATTACCCCCAACCAGAAGCAGCAGTTCCAGTCAAGGACTTACCTACCTGTCTACATGCTAAAATCCACCCACCTGCCAAGGTCTAGAAAGCTCAATCTCCCCTGTGTGAAGTGTGGTTTGTCCACTGAACAGCACGGTAATTGTATGCTCTTCCCAGCAAAACAGTCAAGTTGTCTTTGTATCCAAGGTATGTGTGCACTTGTCCTACCCCAATTCTGAGCTTCTTGGGATTGGAATTACTCAATCCCACAAACCTCCTTGGCCTTTAGTACAGCCTTATACACAGAGTCTAAATGTTAAACATATGTTTAAGATTCAACGTGGGGCACTGTGATAAACAGCTCCCAGTACTTACCCCATGAAAACCGCAGAAATCACATTTAAGCCTTTTCAATGGGAAGGGCTCAGGCAGGGAACAAATTTAGAATGGGACTTCTTTTGCCAGGAAGCAAGGAAGCACTTAACAGATAATGGGAGAGTGTTAAAAGGACTTAGAGGAGCTGGGGCCAGCAGGTGGCATGGTGGGGAAGGAGCTGGATTCCCACATGGCTGACCACGGTTAGAGTCATGGACCTGGTGGTTTACTTTCTCACTTTCTCTTCCTCTCTCTCTCTAGTGAGCACATGTGCCCTAATAACAAATTAATAATAAGAATAAATAAAATAATTCTAAAAAAATATTTTTAATTAAACAAAAGACGTGAGAACCATCTTAAAGGAGTTCCATGGGCCAAATATGGGATCATCTGAGCATCACAATCTAATACTGTGGGGCCAGCAGGTGGTATGATGGTTAGGGTGCTGGACTCCCACATGGCTGACCATGGTTCAAGTCCTGGATCTGGTGGCTTGCTTTCTCACTTTCCCTTTCTTTCTGTCTCTCTCTGGTCAAATTTTAAAAATAGTAATAATAACAAGTAAAATCAAATGAATAAATAATCATTTTTTAAAGAACCCTAATACAGCATATTTTCTATGTATATCCAAGAACTGGAAAGTACCGGGCTCTTCTGTGAGTTCAGGATGACTCATCATGACAAGAATTTTGGGTGTAACTTCAGCACAACCTATTTAGGCCTTCAAATTCCCAAGTCTTCATAGCTTTATTCACAGTGAGAATTGCAATATATAAAGCATTGTGGAAACAGTGTACTTTACCTTGGGATGAAGCATAAGGTTCTGTATAATGTCCATTATAATGCAGCTGGGGTGGGGGAGGCATCACGTAGGGCTGGGGCTTAGGCTGGGAAATGTAAAGTTGGACACAGGGTTAAAACACATGGCCTATGTACTAGAGGTTAAGCCGTTCTCTGTGAGCCTCTTACCCTCCACTAAAACACTTCTGACCAGCAGGTAGCATGGTGGTTAAGGCACCTGATGCCCACATGGCCAACTGTGGTTATGAGTTCTGGACCTGGTGACTTGTTTTCAACTTTCCCTTTCTCTGTCTCTCTCTGGTCAAATTAGAAAATAAAACTAATAATAAATATAATTGAATAAATATGGGCCAGCAGGTAGCATAGTGGTTAAGGTGCTGTTCTCTGACATGGTCGACCATGGTTTGAGCCCTGGACCTGGCAACTTAAAACTCATGCTAGGTGCATGTGCATGACTGCCCAAAATCCCGAGAGGAGAATGAAGGAGAAGAGATTGTGTCATGGCCATTGCCACTTGGGGGTGATTTCTTGCTTCCTGTCTCTCTGCCTCTCTCTGTGGCCAATAGCAAAAATCTCCCTCAAAAATAAATAAATAAACAAACAAATAAATAAATCTTTTTAAAAAACTTCTAAAGGAGTGAAATATATTACAAATGAAAAATAGACACGAAGACACTGTAGCTCCAACCATATCTATCATTTTCAATGTTTCCCCAAATGCCAACGCCAAGCCCTATTTACTGACACCAGGACATTGGCCAACACAGGAAAATCTGCACTTAAAAAGTTACGAGTAGGACCAGCAGGTGGCATAATGGTGATGTCACTGGACTCCCATGTAGTCAACAACAGTTTGAGTCCTGGACAGGGTGGCCTAAACTCATGCTGGGCACACAGGCATGTGTCATCAAAATCCCAAGAGGAGGATGTCAGAGAAGGGACTGCAGCATGGCCATCCACCTAGGGGGGTGGTGGGAGGGATTTCTTGCTTTCTGTCTCTCTCAATCTCTCTGGCAAGCACACAGGCCATATAGCAAAAAAAGCTTTCCTTTAAAAAAAAGGGCAAGAAGGAATAGACATGAATTTCCTTATACAAACATCTGAATATAAGAAGTTTATATGCAGGGCCAGCAGGTAGTGTAGTAAAGGAGCTGCAGTCCCATATTGCCGACTGCAGTTTGAGTCTTGGACATGGCAGTTTGCTTTCTCACTTTCCTCCTCCCTCCCTCCCTCTCTCTCTCTCTCTCTCTCTCTCTCTCTT